TACATGCTCGGGTTATGCAAGTGGCTTGGGTGTGGCTGGCTCTGAAGTTACTGTATTCTCGCTTGTTGGCTTAGTTAGCCGAGAAAATGTTTTTTTTTAAAAGTTCCTCACTTCTGAAATAACGAGGCCAAATTCTGCTCTGCAACGTGGGAGCAAAGGGAGCTGGAATTTCAAAAGGGAGCCACCCACACACATCAGAGGACAGAATGTGGCTTTAAACTCAATGCTCAGCTAACGTGTGACGCCCACCTCTGTGGCCGGGCGGGAAGCAGGAATCCAAGCCGCTTGGACAAGCGACTGTTATATTGCTCAAATGGAAATATCTAGGAGTAAAGACACACAAAAAGGAAACACACAGGCTATTTCATGCCTGCAGCTTCAGACCACTAGTTGATGGCACCGCCTTCCAGCCTGACCGGAACAGCGTGACACCGATTTCCTCAAGGGTCATCTGTGCTCTGATCACCTAGGAGACCAGCCTCCGCCGAAGTCTTTGCACAGATGCAAGACGTGAACGTGGCCGCACTGAGAGGTTCAATTTCCAACTGTGTCCTGTACTCTCAGCTCCATTCTTTTCCATCCCTTCACCTCTCTTTTAAAGTACATTCATGCAAAAGTTACATCTATCTGCCTCTGAACACACACACACACACACACACACACACAGACACGCACATTTTTAAGACAGAATAAATAACAACTGGAACGAATCATTTTCTCTCCCCTTCTTACTGACGGGTTAAGGCTTTGGCTCCAAAGAATGGGGCGGGGCGGTGGGGGTGGGTGGGTTGGATCACTTGGTGATTACCTGTTCTGTTCATTCCCTCTGGGGCACCTGGCCTTGGCCGCTGTTGGAAGACAGGAGACTGGGCTAGATGGACCTTTGGTCTGACCCAGTAGGGCCGTTCTTATGTTTGAATATAGCTGATTCCAAGTGGTAAATTATTGCAGGACAGTCATGGTGGGCACAGACGTATGCATAATTTCAGGTACCAGTAAGACCCCTAATCTGCAACCACCTGCGTGCATGAGGGCTGCTGGGCCTTGCCTGGAGAATTATTGGAGTTGACAGGGCTCCCCTTTAAGCACAGCAATCTGCCTGCATGCAAGAAGTTGCAGGATCTGGGTCTAAGTGTCTATTTTAGGATGGGATTTTCAACAGCGCCTAAGTGACTCGGAAGCTCAACTCTCATGAAAGTCAATGGGACTTGTGCTCCTCAGTCACTTAGACGCTCTTGAAAATCCCACCTGTAATACAGTGGGGGGAGACCCCCGAGCCCTCTGCAGTTTGAAGTATGTTTCGGCAAGCTTCCAATTTACCAAGTATGTTGCTATGACTGCCAAGAAAACCTTCCAAGTGGGCGCAGAGCAGAATGGATGCTGTGGTACCTGCCTGAGACTGCAATGATAGCTCTGAGAGGTCTGAGCTGCCCTGTTCATTTCAGTGGGGGTGTTACCACTTAACCCTAATGGTGACACTAACCCCCTTTTTAAATATAAATCTTTGGTATTCAATTGTGCACCTAATTTATGCACAGAATTACTGTGATTCCATGCAAAAATGACCAAACAAAGAGCAGAAATACAGCAGTGGTTCTAAGAGGCCCGGTGCTATTTTCTCTCATTTTACGAATGAAAGGTTTAGCATCCTATTCTTCCCTTTGATATTTGTGAAAGCATCCCATTGTTAACTCCGCTGTGCTTCAAGGGTAGTATAACGGCATAATTTGACATAATTTGGCTCTTTCCACAGAATGAGTTTGATATCCACTTCCGAATAGAAAGAGAACTGTCTGAACTAGGGTTACCATACGTCCGGATTTTCCCGGACATGTCCAGCTTTTTGGTCCTCAAATCCCAGTCCGGGAGGAAATTCCAAAAAGCCGAGCATGTCCGGGAAAATAGGGAGGGGTCGGGGGGCTTGGATCCAGGCTGGAGCCGCTGGAGCCGGAGCCGCTGGTGCTCAGCCGCCGGCTGGTGCCGCTTGGCCAGGGCTGGGCGGGAACCAGTCGGCCAGAACCAGGGCCCGAGCCGGGCCGGAGCCGCTGGGACCGGGGCTGGTGGTGCTCGGCCGGCGCCGCTCGGCCGGGGTGGGCCGGAGCCGCTCGACCGGAACCGGGGCCCAAACCGAGCCGGGCCAGAGCTGCTGAGACCGGGGCTGGGGGTGCTCAGCTGGCGCCGCTCGGCCGGGGCCGGGCTGGAGCCGCTCGGCCAGAACCGGGGCCCGAACTGAGCTGGGCCGGAGCCGCT